GTTCTTTAATGCATAGGATTCAACACATACAGGATGTTTGATACATGATTAACTGATGAGTGAGTTTATGCATGAGCTCCTCGTTGCTCTTACTACCAAACCCCTGCATTTTTAACACATGGTCCGCGCACGCGGAGCATGTACTCAAAATGGCACTGTACTGCTTCGCAGTGTGATCTGAGATGCTCCTCGAGCGTCCTCGCCGAAGAGACTTTGGGGGACGAAGAATGACATAAACATAATAACTCGGAAATCCGCGCGGATGTCTCGGACCGGCGCTGGACCCCGCTCCCTGGCGCGCGGAGCGCGCCAGGAGCAGCGTCAGGGGCGGCGCCAGGGGGCCCCAGCGCGGACCCGAGAAATCCGCGCGGACCTCCGAGTTATCATGTTGATGTCATTCTTCGTTCCCTATCAATTGCCCCCGTCGAAAAATGCACACGTCCGAGCGATGCCAACCCTGAGGTCAACGCGGCCCTTGTATCCTGCAGGAGACGCGGGCGTTTAGCAGAGACCGACCGTCCCGGCATTCATTCCTATAGGCCTACCATCCAATTTTTCTTAGAGTCCAGCAAGGTTCGAAGAACAAGAACAGTGTTCTTAGAACATGAGCCCGTTGTGTGAAATCAATACGGCCCCAATCAGCAATGTCCTAAGATCATTCCGTGCCGACCACAACAGGTTCTTAGAACATTCTGTGGTGGGCCTAAAGTGAAGGGGCCCTGGAACACACAAATGAATACACACACACACATAACAGGACTCCCCACGTTTACCCTATATTTTCTGGGTTTTTGTCTTCCCCCCGCTTCCCACATTTTCTGGGGAATCGAGGATTAGGAATAATGTCTGTGTGCTTGCTTTTCTCCTGCTATAGCCCAGCCAGGACGCCTCGACGCTGCCTGGCATCCTGCAGGAGTTGGTAGTCCCCAAACGTGGTGGTGACAACACCTGGCGGTGAGTCTCGGGCGATTTGGTGTCACCACCCGGTTTGGGGACTCGTGCGGTTTTCCGAGGACGTCCCGAACGCTGGCAGGTCCAGGAGTCACAGAACCCGGAGGTGACCCCGCGTCCCCAAACCCAGCGGAGACCTTTTTGGGGACTCCAGGTCGCCACCTGGCATCTCACCACCCGGTTTAGGGGGTTCCCAACGCGTGCTCACCGAGGTCTCCATGCGGACCCGGTGGGAAGGGAGGGAGAAAGGGTAATTAATTAGGAACGGACGACGGGGCGCAGGGGGGGGGGCGGAGGGAGGAGGAGGAGGAGGAGGAGGAGGAGGAGGAGGAGGAGGAGGAGGAGGAGGAATGAGGAGGAGGAGGGAGGAAGGACAGTAGGAGGAGGATGATGGAGGAGGAGGAGGAGAGGATAGGAGGAGGATGATGAGGGAGGATGCGGCGCGCGGCGGGCGGCGGAAAGGAGGAGGAGGAATGAGGAGGAAGAAGGAGGAGAGGAGGAGGAGGAGGAGGGAGGAGGCATCTCACCACCCGGTTTGGGGGCTCCCAGAGGAGACGCGGGCGGGCGCAGCGGCGCGGTGTGCATGGCCCCGGACGCCTGCGCGGCCGGCTCCGCCAGCGGAGGCTCCTCCACCTCGGGCGCCTGCGGGCGCGCCGCGGGGGGGGCATGGCAAGAGGGTCCGGGCAGGAGGAGGAGGAGGAGGAGGAGGAGGTGGAGGAGAGGGAGAGGAGGAGGAGGAGAGGAGGGAGGAGGAGAGGGAGTAGGAGAGGAGTAAGGAGGGATAGGATGAGGGAGGAGGAGGAGAGGAGGAGGAGGAGGAGGAGGAGGATAGAGGAGGAGGAGGAGGTGGTAGGAGGAGGAGGTAGGAGAGGAGGAGGAGGGAGGAGGAGGAGGGAGGAGGAGGAGGAGGGAGGAGGGAGGAGGGAGGAGGAGTCGATGGTGTCGGAGGGTCGCGCCGCATCGGCGATGCATCGGCGACGCCGGCGTGGCACCCGCGCCATCAGCGTGGAGAACATCGGGCTCGACATCGAGCCGCATCGCCGGGCCGATCTTCCTGCCCAATCTGCTCCGACCTCATCTGGGAGGCCTGGAGTGGAGGAGGCTGGGCTAGTAGGACGATGCAAATGTCCTGACAGGATTGGCTCAGGACGCGTTGCAAGGTCTTTAGAGTAGCATCTCGCGGCCCTCGTTTCTGCAGCCCGCGGGGGGCACTCGGGGATGTTGAAGCCCGGGAAATCTGCGGACGCATCATTGTCCTGACCTGCTGCTCCTCTGAG